AATAGTCGTAGCCTGCATATCGCTCAGGGCGATGGGTCAGGGTAAATGAATACAACTCAACTCAACTCAATTAAGGTAAACCCTTCGAACCAATTCACCCGCTAGGTAATTCCAACGCCTAGGCTGAAGAGGCCTCGTTATACTTTGACCACCTTCCTTGCAAGAAGGAAGGAAGACTTAATCCCGAGTCAAGATTAATCAGTGAAGTATCACCCCGTCCTATCTAACTTAGACAGGATAAGATGTCGACAGTCGACATGAACGACGGTAGTAGCATTCCCCAGGAACAGCAGTAGTAGAGAAACCCCACCACCTTGGACGATATTTTCGCCATGATGCAGGGCATGCAAGGACAAATGGCCAACCTCTAGTCGCAACTGAATGATTAGATGCAGGAGAACGCACGCCTCCGAGCCCGCATCAATTAAGGGCAAGCTCCGCAAACGGGACTACTAGCGCAAGAAGCTACCAACCCGGCAGCTCCACTATAAGGGGCCCCACCAGCTTAACCTGCGACTACACCCGTTGCTGCACCACCCATAGCTACACCGGCCACGTCCTACGCTAAGGTCCCGAAGCCTGATCTCTACTATGGAGACCGGCATAAGACCCAGAATTTCCTTACTTAATTAGACGACTACCTCTACTTCTCGCGCGGACAATTTACCGATGACGAAGAAAAAGTTCTGTACGCTAGCACCTATCTACGCGGCGCAGCGGAGAAATGGTTCCGCCTAATGAAACGGGAACGTCAGGAAAAACAGCAATGGGAATGGACCGACCGAACTCAGGAGGTCTTCAACGACTACCGAACTTTCGTCAGATACCTTAAGGAAGCCTTCGCGGACATCGATGAAACCCGCAAAGCCACAAGAATACTTTAAACCCTGAAGCAGAAGAAGTCGGTATTGGAATACACTACAGACTTCTAAAACGCCGCATACGTGGCCGGACACTACACCGACTACACGCTTAGGACGTTCTACGCTTAAGGACTAAAAGACGAAATTTAGGAAGTAATAACCTACTACGAGGAACCCGACAGTCTTGCCGAAATGATCTAACTCGCTACTATGTTGGACCGACGCCGCTTGCAACGTGGATGGGATAAGTAGGCTAACACATCGCGATCCATAAGACCTAGACACACCTAGGAAGGAGGTGACGCTATAGAATTGGACAGCTCATCCCGAGACAACAAAAGCAAGAAGGGAAAAGGCAACCGCAAAACCAACAACAAGTGGACCGATTAACAGAAGGAGCGATTCAATAAGAACCTCTGTATCTACTGTGGTGATAAATGGGAACCCGGACACAACTGTTCGCAGAACCCGCGGAATAAAGACAAGGGAAAGGAAGCTGCCGCTACTAATCGAACCACGTTAGTAGCAGCCCGGAAAGAGCCTAAGCATGGAGTACTCAGTTGGACTGCATGCTATAACGACAATTGCCAAACCCACCAAAGCGAGAAACTGGTTCGGCATAGAGCCGGATGGATACGTCCCAAGCAGACAATTAGCACCGACGATCAGACTCGAAAATAACTCCTGGCTCGATAAAATCCGACAGGAATACAGCCACGATACGATAGCACAAGAACTTCAGGACATAAACAACGACCCAAGAGTCAGTAAAGATACAGACGGAACAATCCTGTTTTTAGGACTAGTCTACGTACTAAGAATACTTAGAGAAGGTCTAGTTAAAGACGTCCATGAAGCCCCAGCACACGGTCATCAAGGAACAGACAAGACAATCGAACGGATCACCCGGCACTTCTACTTCCCAGGCCTTAGAAGAACGGTCCAACGTGTAATCTCGCAGTGCGACCTCTGCATTCGAAGCAAGGCCTCGAGACACGCACCATATGGACTGCTCCAGCCACTCAAGGCACCTGAACGGCCCTGGCAATCGATCTCGTTAGACTTTATCACGGATCTACCACCCTCGAAGGAGCTACTTACTAGGGTAAAATACGACTCGATACTCGTCATCGTCGATAGGCTCACTAAGTACGCGTATTATCTGCCCTACCTCAAGACGGCAAACGCGGAAGAACTCGCCTATACGTTCCTCAGGACAATCCTCGGCAACCACGGGTTACCAGAAGAGCTAGTATCAGACAGAGACAAACTGTTTACATCCCGATTCTGGCAGACTCTCACCCGTCAGCTTGGTTTAAAACACAAAATGTCCACAACGGCTTATCCGCAAACAGACGGACAAATAGAACGAACAAATCAGATACTGGAACAGTACCTACGTTGCTACGTTAACTACGCACAAGACAATTGGGTAGAACTCTTACCTCTTGCCCAGTTCGCGTACAACAGTGCCAAGGCAACAACCACCCAGGAATCGCCGTTCTACGCCAACTACGGATATAAGCCAACGGCTTACAACGAGCCGCAACCAAGTTAATCCTTAGCCCAAAAAGGAATCCTAAAAGCAGACCAGCTGAAAGAACTGCACAGACAGTTAAGCCTTGACATAGAATATAACGGATTTCTAATGTCAAAATATTACAATAGGCGGCACCAGGAGGCACCGACCTTTAAGGAGGGGGATAAAGTATACCTTCTCAGAAAAAATATCCGGACAAAACGGCCGAATAACAAATTAGACTTCAAGAAACTCGGACCGTTCGAAGTTGACAAACAAATTGGGAAAGTCAATTATCGCCTCAAACTACCGGACACAATGAAAATCTTCCCAGTCTTCCATGTCTCACTGCTGGAATCGGTACTAGAAAACGCCACCGCAGTACAACAGACAGAGGAAATGATACCGGAAAACCCTGACGCCGACGAAAACCAAGAATGGACAGTCGAGAAAGTCCTAGACAGTGGACACGTTAACGGTCAATTCCGCTATCTCCTAAAATAGGAAGGAAATTGGGATAATACCTGGGAACCACCTGAGAACTGCGACGGATGTCAAGAACTTATTAAGGAATTCCACCGCCGAAATCCAGACCGTCTAAAGCCGACACATCAAATTCGCTAGGAAACGGATCAACCTCCCAGAAGGCAGGCATCCGCGCGAAATCCACCGGCTCCGACGTCTCAGGAGGCGCAGTAGAACCAGCCCCGGGGGAACCCACATCAGCAGGACCCGCAGCGGTATTAGCTGAGGACTCGCCACGCAAGCGCTTTGCATGCCGATTACAGCCCTCGCTCTCAGGGTCAACGGCATCCCTAGTCTCGCGAGCAGCCTCGAGTCGCTCAATCTCTTCCAAGTCCTCAACAGTCTTCGCCTTCTTGGAAATCATCAAGCTACCCCGACGACGCAACAAATCTCGTTGCTTGCGCATACGTTGAAGACGACTCATATTCTTCTGAAGCAAATCTAATACCATCTGCTCCTCGGACTTAGTCTGATCGATGGCCCGCTTTAACCGAGTAACTGAGAAGCCAAGTTAGCAAGGAACTAAGAAATAAGGAAGTAACGTACAATCGGAGTCTTCTAAGCCACCACCATCGCAACTAGTTAAGCCGCGACGGACATATTCACTACAACGACCATAGCCCGAATCTATCTTACAAACCACCTCGCGATTAGAAGCCCTACGACGGGCATTCCATAGCATACACTCGGTACAAGGAACGGGCATGGTGTCCCCAAAAGAATCAATCTTAGTTGCCAGAGACTCACGCTCAGCTCGTTGATCGTTACGCTTCCGTTTGGCAGACATGGCGAAAGGACTTACAGAGAAAGAAGAAAGAAGCAGCACAGAACCTAAGATATAGCCTAAGAGGAAAATCTTCGGGCCGAAGATCCTTAAGGAGGGGGATAGTATTATGGACCGCAAGGGAAATCAACCCGCAGGGTCGGAAGGACCTTATGGGAAGAAGGCCCATACGGGCCTGGAGACTACAAGGGCTTAGTAACCACAAGGAGCCGCGTCCCACAAGGTGCCAGCAGACACGTGCTAGGCAAGGCCGTAGGGAAACCAAGACCACAGACCTAGAAAGCCTACAGGGGATTAATGCCCACAAGGGTAGAAGGCAGCAAGCCGACAAACCAACCTACAGAGCGATCAAGGACAAGGAGGGTATCGCGTCCGCTCTGCGATATAAAGAAAGGTTGTTAGGTTGTAGGAAGTCAGCCGTTAGAAAAGTAGCACAAGGATCACATGACTAAGGACGATCCTGCGCATGGACCAATAGATCAGGACTGATCCATCTGCCTAATCTAATACCATAATCCTAAGAAAGGATCTAGATTGTTAATATTTCCTACATATATTTAGACCACGCTCTCTAGCAGTAGATAGGACCTTCGTGGTCAACTTAAAGTATTAATCTCTACCATAAGGTTGATGGTAACACGCCTACACCCGATCCTTTACGTGACTTGTCTCTCAACTTCCTATACTTCTTGTCCTTCAAGGTAAACCCTTCGAACCAATTCACCCGCTAGGCAATTCCAACGCCTAGGCTGAAGAGGCCTCGTTATAGAAGATTTTCCGGATTATATCGATCTTATCTAGTAGAAAAGATGTAGGGAATCCGTAATTTCCCGTTATAATAATATTGTTGTTTTAGGAGAGTCTAATGCCTGAGATAACGGTTTTTCCCCGGTATCCTGCTGTTTCGAAGGCTTTATTGAGCTGTGTTCTAGCGTTGAGT